TTTCCCCAAAAAAAACGAATTGAAAGCCGACGATTCCCGTGCCAAAATTATGAATCGGAGCCGTTCCTGAACAAAAAGAGAGGCAATTTTTTGAAAAGGAAAAGCTTTTTTGAAGCTTTTGAAAGGAAAATCTCTAAAAGAAAATATAGAAGAGGATAATTATGCCCTGAGGGTGAAAAGGGGGGAAAGGGGAAAGCATTTCACACACATTTTACGGGGAGACACGTTTAATAGGTTATGAAATCAAAAAATGTTCTCATTTATCCATTTTTAGTTATTTTGAGATGATCCGGCTTTATTCGTCTCGTTTTTTTTCCTTATTTAGTCCATATCGGTATGGGTTTTTGAGAATTTGTCAATCAAAATCTTTTTAACCAATATTCTTTTGGGTTTATGGCTTTTTAGCTTTACAAAGTCGATATGGGGCTTTTGAACTATACTGGCGCCTCAAATTGGATTTAGATCTGCTGTTTTGCTGAACGATTCAGCTTTGGAAGCTTTTAATTAGCCTATCATGGTAATATGTTCTCGATTCTTTGCTTTTAAAAGATTAAATTATCAAGTTTTGTCTCTTGTCTTTCCCTTAGTGGTTTAGTCATTTCATTTTTCACACATTTTTAGACACATTGATGTTAGCCAGAGGCTAGAAGCCACATATTGACCTTAGCCAGAGACCAGAAGCTACACATTGATGTTAGCTAGAGGCTAGAAGCCACATATTGACCTTAGCCAGAAACTAGAAGCCACACATTGACCTTAGCCAGAGACCAGCAGCTACACATTGTTCTTAGCCAGAGACCAGAAGCCACACATTGATGTTAGCCAGAGGCTAGAAGCTACAGAAAAACTAGTCATAAGCATATTTTTTAATGTTTTAAAGTCAGGAAGACTGATTTTTTTAGCTTTACAAAGTCGATATGGGGCTTTTGAACTATACTGACGCCTCAAATTGGATTTAGATCTGCTGTTTTGCTGAACGATTCAGCTTTGGTATCTTTTAATGCGCCTATCATGGTAATATGTTCTCGATTCTTTGCTTTTAAAAGATTAAATTATTAAGTTTTGTCTCTTGTCTTTCCCTCAATGACACATTGACTCTCACTTCTTTCCCTATTTCTTTCTTTTTCTTTATTTAAAATCTGTTAGCTCATGTGGTATTTTTGAGCCATTTTCCAGCTCTATTACACTTGATTGAAAGCTTTTATGCAGAAAACAAATGTTAAAAAGGACTGCTACACAGGAGTACGCGATGATACTCTTTACCCGGTCTTCTATTCAAAGAAATACGGTACTTCTTTTTGTCTATACCTTTTTTTTCTTCCAATCTTTTTCTTTTCGTTGAACCTTTTTGCAATTCCCTTAATTGCCTTGAGTGGATGTTGTTTACCGCTTCTAATTAACAGCAAAAGTTGAAATTCTTTGAGATTTTACAATCTTTGCAAACTTTTTTTTACAAAGAAATTCCCCGATCACATGATTTCTCTCTAAAAAGAAAGAAGTGTGTCGAAAATAGAGAATTCTTGAAAAAAAGAGTTGAGGAAAAGCTTTAAACAATAGAAATAAAGAGTGCTCACAAATATTATCTGTATGTGGTTGTGGGAGAATTCTGCGAGTTCGGGGCTAGGGGTAAGTAGGGATCTATTTGCGGACATCTATCTCTACACACTCCCCTTCCCCAGCACTTGCCCCATCTCTCCCCTTTGCAACCCTTTCCCTTGTCAAGATTTCATGTCAATATCTGTAGATCTGTACAGATCTCTATCATTGATTCATTTGCTTCAAATCATCAATCTTTTGTTTGATTGATTGTCGATATCTCCAGGTAGAGGTGAGATTTTTGAATCATTCATTCAATCATCAATCATCGATTGCATTTACAATCGTTTTAGAACCGAATTCAACATTGGCTAGATATTTTTGATTTAAAAAGTTTGCCCTACTCCCCTCAACTCAGATCTATTTCAGTTTTCTTCTGCTAAGCTCTCAAGTATCTATTTCTTTTCTGATACTCTCAATGAATAGATCAAAGCCTACTTGCTAATAGATTGTACATACCGTAAATACTGTAGTAGTACCGCACCGCCATAATGACGGTGTGGAGTGTTGCGTAGTCTAGCTTTGAACGAGTTTTTCTCGACACTGGTTTATGCTAAAATGCGCGTTTAGGTATCAAAAAATAGCTGAAATTCAGGGCTATTTTTTGATACCAAAGACGCATTTTTTGAAAGTACGGGTGCTTTGCAAAAAATGAAATACTAAAAAACTTTTGCGACTATACGAGGGCGGTCGGGTACTATTGCAGTATTTACGGTGACACGCCCGCAATGAGTATTTTGAGATAATCTAGTCAATGGCCAAAGTATTCTAAATAACTACCGTAAATACTGTAATAGTACCCCACCCCCATAATCGGGTGCGGAGTGTTGGGTAGTCTAGCTTTGAACGAGTTTTTCTCGACACTGGTTTATGATACAATATGCGCTTAGGTATCAAAAAATAGCCCTGAATTTCAGCTATTTTTTGATATCTAAGCGCGCATTGTAGCATAAACCAGTGTCGAGAAAAACTCGTTCAAAGCTAGACTACGCAACGCTCCGCATCGTCATTGTGGGGCTGGGGTACTATTACAGTATTTACGGTAGGCTGATTTATTTTCTGAAGCTTTTACATAACGGCTTAATTGTGAAATTTCGAAAACTCTAAACTCTAAACTTTTTACTGTACAATTAATCCAATTGTACAATGTTCAAAGTGAGTTTTTTTTGTCTTTTTGTCTTTTTCCTAGCTTTGATCATTCAGATCAGCTTTACTTTTACTTTTCCTCTTTTCTTGATTCAGTAATTTCCATTTCTAATTGATCTCCAGACAATTTTGAACACTTAGAATAATACAAGTATTGTATTATTTCGGGTAACAAGAGTGGGATTCAATCTTTACAAAATCGGTTTCAATGATTTCAATGTTTTCAATGATTTCAATGATTTCAATGATTCAATGACTAAATTGGAACAACAACAAGAACAAAATCAAAACAAAAAACCTTAAATCGACGTCATCTTCAATAAAAATCTCAAAAAAACGGTTTTATTCTCATTTTTGTTACGCAATTTATGAGCCGCTTTTTTTTGAGGGGTCCAAGCGGTGTCTTGTGGACAGAAAAGGATTTTTTGTGGATTTTTTGAGGATAGAAAAGGGTCATAAAAGGCGAACATAAAAAGGAAATCGTTAAAGGATCAGAACGCAATGTGAAATGAAATTAAATAGCTCTGTGAAATAGTGAAATAGCTCTGTTTCTTAAGGGAATCAATTATGTAATAATAATAAAATAAACCTTTTACATAGTAAAACAGAATGCAGCATTGAACTAAGCCTTTTTTTCGCTAACAATTTCGTGAGAGATTTCTTTGAGAATCTTTCAGTCACAGTTGCAGGTAAACTGACAACTTTAGTGTTTTTAGTTGGAATTCCCTACAGTAATCCATTTCTATTCAAACTGACAACAAATCTATTCAATTTCTCATATCCAAAACTGCACAAAATACTTGTTTGTTGTTTTAATTAAAAATATGACTTTAGTTAGAAAGGTAGACACAATTGGATCTTTAAAAATATTTAAAAGATCTTTAAAGACGATTTAAAGACGATTTAAAGACGATTTAAAGACTTTAAAGACTTTATAGACTTCTTTAAAGGTTTTAAAGACTTCTATAAAGACTTTATAGACTTTAAAGACTTCTATAAAGACTTTATAGACTTCTTTAAAGGCTTTAAAGGCTTTAAAGACTTTAAAGACTTTAAAGACTTTAAAGGCTTTAAAGACTTCTTTAAAGACTAAAGACTTTTAAAAATCTCAGTTATCAATGAATTCTTAAAGTCTAGCCACAATATTCGAATTCTCTTGACATAGTTCTTGAACTTGGTGGCAAACCGGTTGAGTAAAGCCTCTTCCCCAACTCTCACCCCTAATTTCCACTCAATCAGAAGATTCGGTCTTCTTTGTGTGTCTTTGAATGCAATGGATCACTTCAATCTTTCAACATATCCCCTTTTCTCTTTTTTTGATTGATCTCTTATCCATTGCAGTGAAAGAGATCGCTGAAGACCGGCCTATCTCTTTCTCTTTATCCACCTGAAGTTCTCTTTTCTCTTTGCCCGATCCCCGGGTGCACACATTCATCCAGATCCCCAGATCATCACAAGAAGATTATCACGCCTTGATCTTTTTTTCTTTTCTTGTTAATTATATATTTTTTGATAGTTGTTGATTTTATCAGCAAACAGCAATCTGGTAGCACATTTTAAATGGTAATAGTAAGTTGACAGTAGACATGGGCGCTACAAACTACAAGACGAGACTATCAACGCTTGTAGAAACACGTAGAATGGCTATTTTTAAAAACTGTTTTTACTAAGAAACGAGCCAACTTCGGGCTTTCGAATGACACCAAAATCAAGTCAATCCATCATTTTTTCTTCGAGAACGAACCATTTATAGCTGTTTGTAGTCTTGTCCAATGGGATGGGACTAAAAACATAATATTTCAGCGTAGAGATGATGGATTTGCCTGATCTTGGTACTCTTCGAAAGCCCAAAGTTGGCTCGTTTTTTTAGTAAAAACAGTTTTTTAAAATAGCCATTCTACGCGTTTCTACGAGCGTTTGTAGTCTGGTCTTGTAGTTTGCAGCGCCCACGTCTAGTTGACTGTCTATATAGCAAATTTGTATAAACACCCAGTATTTTTACATGCAATTTATAAACTATTTGCTTATTTTTGCTTTGTGCGGTCACTTTAAATGAGAATTCGTGTATTTATTTCCACAAGTACCCTTTTTTTCCCGAGTTCTGTTATCTCTTTGACCCAAAAGACAGGTCAAAATATTTCTTCAGACTATCACACTGTGTACTTTTGTTTACTTTTCTTTCGTTACCAATTCATAGCTTTCTTTGTTTTCCGCAAAGTAATCATTCTTAAAATTGACGAAATATCGAAATTTTAGAGATGCCACTCCTTGGCACATCCACTCAGTTCTTCACGCTACCGTTTCGGAGGAAAAAGCAAAGGTGAGCTAGAAGCTAGAATTTTGAAGGCCCAGTTTGGTTTTTCCATTTACCCTATTAACTCAATCATATTGGGTTGGTGAATTGATAACTGCCGGACTTTGAACTAAAATTTATTCAACATAAAACCATGAACTCATTTCAAATAATTTTCATTATTATTGACGACTTCTGCCCATTTTACAGGCAATTTGCGGATTCCTCTTTCGTAGTAGGATTTTCGTTTTGAATCGGAAAAACTTTTCGAGCCAATTTTTGACTGCTTCTTCTGAATCGAAGTGTTCTCCCGCAAGCTCATTACTCATGGTCCGGAATAAATAGTAATCGGAAGGGGCAAGGTCCGAACTGTATGGGGGATGTGCCAAAAGTTCCCAACCAAGGCTGTTTATTTTAGAGCGAGTCAGTTTTGCAACATGAGGGTGCGCTTGTCGTGGAGGAGAACGATCTTTGACTTGAAGGGCCTATGCTTCTTTAGGGATTCATTCACCTTTTCCAACTGTTCACTGTATTCGATTGCATTAAGGGTCGTCTTGCTATCCAGCAACTCCCAGTACACCACTCCCTCCATATCCCAAAGTGCTCAAACTGTGACATATGACAATAGACAATACGAGTTTGGTTTGTGTGTGAGACAAGTGTGAGACTGAAAAATGGAGGACTGGAGATGTCCCAGTTTGAGCACTTTCTTCAAAAGAAACCCATTTTGGTGTCAATAGAAAAGTTGTAGAGAATCAAAAATTAGGCTTATAGCCAAATTTCCAAAAAGATACATTTAGCAGTTTCGCTTAAAATGCAAGTTTTGTGAAAATTCGTAAATTTGGCATTTCTTGAAAACGAGTTTTTGAATCGTTCTGAAAATTTGGATATAAACTTGATTTTTGATTCTCTACAACTTTTCCATTGACACCAAAATCGGTTTCTTTTGAAGAAAGTGCTCAAACTGTCACATATGACAATAGCCGGCAGTTTTCAATTCACCAACCCAATACTTAGAGACTTGCAACACTTGAGCATAACATTTACTCTATTAACTCAATCATATTTCAGATACACAATCAATCCACCAGATGATCAATACAATGTGATCTATCTTGGGAATGTGCTAACAGTGATGGCCAAGGGTGATGGATGTGTCGATAAACCATTGAGTCTCATTTGGAGAGCGTATTGCCAGCGGCAACGAAATGACCTTCATATGCAACTTGAGGTGAGTTGAAAAGGAAAAAGTTTCCTTTCGAACTTGAACTCATTTCAAGAACGATAAAATTTTGAAAAAAAGCCGAGCATGTTATAATTATCGTTTTGAACTGAATAATGTTCTTGAAATCACAGTAGTTTGAGACAAAATTAGCATAAATGAGTAGAGTGATCTCGTACGGGAACCACTGGAGATAACCCAATAAGTACCCACTTATTGCGATTATTGGACATTTGATACGCGTCCCGCCCCTTTTGCCATTGGCAATCTAACTTTGAACTTAAGTATCTTGGTGTTGTGTTGTCCAATTTAAGTCTTCTTGGTATCATTAGATGCGCCAAGTCTTTCTCTATCGATTGGTATAAAAACTATTGAAATGGAATAGCCCAACACCAAAATATTTGAGCTCAAAGTTGAATTGGAAGAAGAAGCCACAATGCCCCACAATGGCAAATGTCCCATCACTTATTGCTCATCCAGAAATGAAATTGGCCAGATGAAATTCGAAAATCTTACTTTCAGATCACTCGATCTGGCCTAAAAGCGGAAACCTCACAACAGGGATTGACCGAGTATTGGGCTCATCGAATCACTCATTGTTGTGCCCCGTCGGAGTATCCCAAAGTTTTTTGCTGGATTTACAAGCACGATGGAAAGAGGTGAGATTTGCGACACGTTGGTCCTTTTATGGGTTGGGGCTGGAAATACAAAATATGGTCGGCGCGGGAGTCGAATCCGTGACCTCTCGCTTACCTCTCGCCTACCGGCCGATCGCCCTACCAATGAGCTACACCGGCAGGGATTTCACTGCTAAGATAGGGTTTTATGCATTACTGTCCACCTAGACCTAAAGAAAACTATTCAATCATGCCCAGAGTTATTCTGAAAGTATTTTTCTAGACTAGGGCAAGACAAAGCCAGAAGCCAGATCAAGATCAAGATCTGGATTCTGGATCTGAGCAGATCCTAGAATCCGATTCCTGCTCTTGTTGGCTGAATAGGCTGTTAGCTGCTAGCTTGTTAGTTGAATAGGTGTACTGTAGGCAAATAGTTAAGAGTCCGACTATAAATTTACTTTTAGTAGACAAATCCAAAGCCAGTAAATAGCTATGATGTCAAATTTCCTCATCAAAAGATCCACTTGACTCAATTCTCGATTTCAGACTCAAGCCAGAGCTCCGATTTCACGCTGTTTTGTGCAAAAAGGCTAACGAGCCTGCTCTGATCGCCATCCGATTAACCGAATTTCTCAAAGCTGCTTTGGAGGTTTGTAAATTTAATCAAAAGGAAATAATTGAGCAGAGTATCGAATTTTTTTGTCCTAATTGCAAACTCCAATTGCCTTTTGTTGCAAGTTTTTTCGTTTTCTCGAAAGTCCGGTTTTTTTTTGTTTGGCTTTCCAAAAATCTTTCTAGATTTCTAGAGAAAATCAAAATATAATAAAATCTCCTATGTCACCTAAAATAAGCAATATATTTTGGATCCTTTTTGTGCTCTTTGATCCTTTATTCATTCCATATTTGGATTTCAATATCAAGGCCATAAAATAAAGGGGAGATTTATGAAAGCTCGACTAGTTGAGCAAAGATCTTGGGTAATGAAAAAAATATTTAAGAATTTGGTTATGGAAATGATAGTTAGAAGCTTTAAAACTGATTTAGATTGATCTAATTGATCTAATTGATTTAAAAAGTTTGAAAACTGATTCAGATACTGAATCAGTTTAATTAAAAATTTTCAAAATTCGATCAAAAACGAAATCTTTGACTTCATTTCGTCAGCGCTCATTGATACGATTTTATTTCTTTTCTTTTGACTGACTAGAGTCTTTTCTTTTCTCCTTTTTCTGTGAAAATCCATTGAAAATCCATCCTCAATCATTAAAAGAACTCATTAGTTGCCAGAATCAAATTTTCAAAAAACTCTTTGAATTTAGCTCTTTTAAAATCCGACTTTACTCATCTTTAAACTGGATTTTCTAAACTGGATTTGTTTCCAGATTTTCCTGCATTTTCACAGCTTTTCCTGAGAATACACTCAACTTTTGCTGTCCCAGGCACAAAAAAGACTCTTTGGTCCTCCTTGGAGGACCAAAAGTTCAAGAGTCTTCTTTAGAGAGCCATAAAAAAGCTAGCTAAAACTAAAATTTGCTAAAAATCTGAAACTTTTATCAAATTAAATGATATCCAACGAAGTTTCTCAATGGATTTTCACAGAAAAAGGAGAAAAGAAAAGACTCTAGTCAGTCAAAAAAAAGAAATAAAATCGTATCAATGAGCGCTGACGAAATGAAGTCAAAGATTTCGTTTTTGATCGAATTTTGAAAAGTGTTGAAATGAAACACAAAGTCTAGGTGTTTAAAAGATGGTTAACACTGTTAACAAAACTGTTAACACTGGCAAAACTGTTAACACTTTTAAATCTGTCACTTTGTTACACTCCGAAATAATTTCTAAACTTTTTTTATGAAACTATCAAAGAGTTGATAAACCGAATAGGAACTATAAAGGAACTATAAAGGAACTAAAAAAGATCTAAATAGGAACCATAACGGAACTATAAAGGAACTATAAAGGAGCTAAATAGGAACTATAAAGGAAACTTTAAAGCAACTAAAAAGGAACTTTAATATTTTTTTTGGGGGCCTTTTGGTGGTTTTTTTTTTTTTTTTTTTTCCAATTTGGGGGGGTGGGTTTTCTCCCTCTTTTTTTTTTTTTTTTTTCCCGCGCCCCGGCTTTTGTTTTTTTTTTTTTTTTTGTTTTTTCTTTTGTTTTTTTTTTTTTTTTTTTTTTTTCTTTTCCTTTGTTTTTTTTTTTTTTTTTTGTTTTTTTTTTTTTCGTCTTTCTTTTTTTTTTCTTTTTTTCTTTCCTTCCCCCCCCCCGTTTTTTTTTTTTTTTTTTTTTTTTTTTTTTTTTTTTTTTTTTTTTTTTTTTTTTTTTTTTTTTTTTTTTTTTTTTTTTTTTTTTTTTTTTTTTTTTTTTTTTTAATAGAACTAATTAGGAACTTTAAAGGAACTATAAAGGAACCGTAAAGAAACTATAAAGGTAATTTTAATTAAATTTATAATTAAAAAAAGCAAAAACAAGTCCATTTAGGAATACAAACGCGAGAAACTGGCTCAACAGAACGCCCGGCTCACCTCGTCGACGGGATGTCCGAGAAGGAAATTGATGCTTCAAACGGGGACTCTCAACTTCCGACCACCCGTCTCTAGATCAAAAAGTGCCCCTAGACTCGGCAGCATTGATGAGGAGATTGAGGTGAGAGCTAGAAAATGATTTCAACTCTTTTACATCTGGTTCTGCAATCATTTACACAACCAAGAGCTTCACAGCAAAAAGAAAACGAATTGACGACGAGAGGAGTCGAAGCCGCGACCTCTCCCTTCCGTTCGTTTGAGAGACGCGAGCGTTAGCCACTCGGCCATGCCATAAGGCGCCGTGCGAGAGTAGATGGCGCAGCGCGAGCGCATTTGTCTTTAGCCCACACAACCCGGGTTCGACTCCCGCCCACGTCGGCACTTTTGATTTTTTTAAGATTTAAAAACATGTTCCATAACTGCATGGAATGCTAAGTCAAACTAACGCTAAGTCATTTAAAATGACCTACTGGAGTGGGAGTAGTGTGCAAAGACAGACAAACAGACAGAAAGACAGACAGACAGACAGACAGACAGACAGACAAACAGACAAACAGACAGAAAGACAGACAGACAAACAGACAGATAGACAGACAAACAGACAGATAGACAGACAGAAAGACAGACAGACAGACAGTCAGACAGACAGACAGGCACAGTTCTTTTATATAGTAGATATCTGCAGTTTAGACTTTGCTTTAGTTAGATTTCAAACGATAGAGGTACATAGAATTTTGCACTATTTGATTACTAAATAACTTTTTTTCAGGAAGAAGAGGGCTCCGATGTTGAGTCGATGTGTTATCGCGAGGAACCAATTGGGGACACGGCTTCCTATTCGGGGTGAGGCTTTGGATAAACTGAAAATACAAAAAACCTTTACCAACTTCATTACACTAAATTTTAGCTCCGACGTTTCTCCGGGAAGTTCAGCCTCTTCATCTAAGGGTGCCTCATCCCTTTGCTCGAATGAGGATCGACAAAGGAATCGAGGTCGATTAGATCCAGATTCAGGTGATTAATTGGAAATTGACTTAAAGCAATGTTGCCAAATCAAAAACTTGAATTTATCTTTTAGTCTCTGATGAATCTGGTTATCATGAGGACGGTCAACGACGGATTGACGATTTGTTCTACTCAGATGAAGAGCTTGTTATCATTGAGGAACAAGATTTGGATGAGGTGAGAAAAGAAGTGTAAGAGTATCAAAAGCAGAGCTCAATTACAGCAATCACTCACATTGTATTGATGTACAATAATTAGTACAGTACAGTGTTGAAATTTCAAAAACTTTTTCTTTACCCGAATCATTCTAAGTTTTACCATTTCGGAGATAGGGTTTTCAGTATTTACCGCGATTTCTTTTTTGGTAGATTAGCTCCAAGTTCAACCCTAACCTGCTAAGTGTTATATAAAATATTGAAGCTTTTAATCTTGGCTACATTTATGTATTAAAAGTTTCCCGATTGGAGATGTACAACTCATTTTACAAGCTCTTGAATGAGTTGATCCCTCTCCAGCACCCTGCCATTTTTGGAGATTTTCCTCATAAAAAATTCTTCAATCAGAGTTTCTTTTGGCTAAATTTATGGGAATTTATCTAAAAATTAATCCCAACAAAGCCCAGGTCAGTTAATATAACAAGAAGAATGAACTGAACATCGAAAAATACTCAATTTTCACTTCTTTCCAAAGAAACTTGACTTCAAGTCAAATTTGAATAAGACAGTCCGGTCAAAAACAGTTCTTAATGTTATTAAATAATGTTAAACAATATTTTAACATAAAATAAACATCGAAAAACTTTTTCTGACAATTTGTTATAATGAAAATCGCCAAAAATGGCAGCGTGGGCGCCAACCAGTACTCATTTAAGGACTTGTAAAATGAGTTATATATCTCCAATCGGGAAACTTTTAATACATAAATGTAGCCAAGATTAAGAGCTTTATTTTTCTATATAATACTTGGCACTTTGCCAAGGAGAGGGATCAACCCATTCATGAGCTTGTAAAATGAGTTGTACATCTCCAATCGGGTAACTTTTAATAAATAAATGTAGCCAAGATTAAGAGCTTCAATATTTTATATAACACTTAGCAGATTACGGTTGAACTTGGAGCTAATCTACTAAAAAGAAGTCGCCGTAAATACTGAACACTCTGTACAGTAGTCACTCATTGTCTAGGGTTACTGTACTTGTACTTGATAACCAAGTACAGTAGCTTATCAGAGTACGACTCAAAAAAATGCATTCAGAGTTCACAAAGCTTCTAATTACTCTAAACGGTTCTAAACTTTCCCATTTACAGGATACAATGAAGAAACCACCCCGTCTTCAGCATCAATCTCGATCCCTGCAAGTGACCATCGAAGAAGTCGATGATGATAACTGTGAAGTGACGTCACTTTAGCCAAATTTTGATTTCACTTGGTCTCCAGACCAAGCCCATCGATTTCCCCCTAACATTAGCAGTCACCCATTCAGTTTTCGTCATCTAGTCACCCACACACATGACCAATTTTCTTAATATTCTATCGGCTTGTTTCCTGGGATTTTTTTTAAACCAATCTGACTTGAATTCAAATTCTAAAGATCCCAATAAACAGCAAATTCCAACAAAATAAAGTTTGCTCAACCAATTTTTTGCAATTTAATTTCCCTTTTGAGCTTGGATCAATGCTGGTGTTTTCACTCCATCATTGTCCTCAGATATTGTTCTTGGCGCTTGTGATTCTTATTTTGTTGTATTTTGTTGTATTCAACGTATTTCGATACGATTATTCAACACTTTAATATGCAAATTTTGAGCTCAAGCTCAAGAATTGCAAAAATAAAAATCGCAAGCATCCATTTTTCTGTGTTCTCATTTATCTGTATATTTCCTCGTTTCACATTTCACATTTCACTTTTATTTTTTAAAACTACAATGGTACTACTTGCAATACTTATAGCTGTTTGTACAAAACGCTGATTTTATTATTAGTGAAATGTTCAATAAACGTTTATAAACAAATAATTCTATTAGGTAAATGCATAAGAAATACGGATTTCTCAGGCTTCAACATTTTCATAAATTTCCAACGATAGAAAGCTAATGTTATAAACTAGAATCGATGAATGTTATAAACTATTTGAAAGTTGTAAATCTCCTCTACAAAATGGGCTAAAACGGGTTTCAGTTGATCGAACGATTGAAGAAATTTCGAGGGCGAAATGCGAGTGACCAAAAAAGGAAAAAAAGGAATTGAACAACAGAGACTTGATTTTATATGATTTGTTTTTAGTATTTCGGCCCTGATCTACCAGCGCATTAACAATATCATCTGAAACTAAAAATTTCATTTGGAAATCGTTTATATTTGGCCACAAAAGAACCAGAATTGCAAGATGTGAGTGTTTAAAGTTTAAAAAAACTATATAGCCATGAAAGCAATCTTATTCAATTCAATTCAAGTGTGTTTTTCATCATCTCCAGACTTACTTAAAGCCACTAATTGGTGAGTTTTGAACATATAGGCAAACACTCACAACTGTTAGGTACCTGCCTAAGAAATGCGGATTTCAACATTTTCATAAATTTCCAGCGATAGAAAGCTGATGTTATAAACTCGAATCGATGAATGTTATAAATCACTTGAAAGTTTTAAATCTGTAAATCTTTTATCTACTATTGTAGTGACAAGACTTGAGTGTTAGAGATGACAGTGCTGTTAAATATATTCAAATATTTGTTAGATTATTGTTAGACAGTACGGCAATGATAACTCTTTATCTAACTGTAAATAAATCTTTTGAATAACTTCAAAATATCCAGTTTATCTTCTTACAGTACTTTCTTGATAGTTTTCTAATGCGTGTCCTTTTCCTAAATGCCGATCTCATTACTCCTTTTCTAAAGAATAACCCTGTTACCGTAGTTCTTCAATATATTAGGTTGATGCATAAGTGTTTTTGTTCCTTTTCGTCTGCCGTTTCAAGCCAACAAATGCACCAATTAAACTACGGTTGATTTCATTAGAAAAAGCAATTATTTTTCTGCAAAATAACATTAAAACGGGTTTAAAAATATTTAATGCCTGGATTTTCTTGAGAGTATGAAGTCGGGTAGTCAAAAAGGGCTAACTCGATGATGCGGTTTAGACACCTTAGCTAAAGAAAACCTATCTTCGTGTCAATAGATAAAAGATAGAGAAAAAAAAACGTTTGATATTTCGCCAAAATTTCAGAGAAATTCATTCAGCCAATTTTTCCGTAGAGTTTTTTATAGATTTTTACGAAAAAGGCGTTTTTCACTCTCGAATTTGCTTGAAAGTGAACCGAAATTCATTTAAAAAGATGCAAATTGAACAAAAAAACACTTTTTTTATAGAGCAAACTATAGATTAATTGGTGAATTTGTTACTTTTTAACAGAAGTACGAAAAAAACGAAAAGACTTATGCATCAACCTATTACTTTTTATCATTCTTAATAACTTATCGTATACCTTTGATATTTAGTTTTATTCTAGTACGATTAAAACATTCTATTAGGTAAATGCATAAGAAATGCGGATTTCAACATTTTCATAAATTTCCAACGATAGAAAGCTGATGTTCTAAACTAGAATCGATGAATGTTATAAACTATTTGAAAGTTGTAAATCTCCTCTACAAAATAGGCTAAAACGTTTTTCAATTGATCGGACGATTGAAGAAATTTCGAGGGCGAAATGCGAGTGACCAAAAAAGGGCAAAAAAAGGAATCGAGTCACTTTAGGGACAAGTTTAGCGTCGTCAAAATAGAGTTAGCTTCCGAAAATTGAAGATTTGGAAAAAGAAAGGATAACTATATATGAATTCATTTAAAAAGTCTAACGGAAATGCATTTACAGAAATGACCAAAAAAGGTCACTTTTTGAAAATCCCACTTTCACAAGAGTTCGGTTTTGAATATATAGTGGAAAATGTCCTAAAATATCAATAAAAGCGCCCTAAAATATCATTCAAAATAATCAAGAGTTGGGATTATTTCATGGGAAAACTTTGTTTTTACAATCATTTTTCTTTTTTGTGAAAAAGCCGGGTTTTTTTGGCAATTTTGAGGGTTTTGAACTTGCGCTCTATCTAAATTTCTGTAAATGCATTTCCGTTAGACTTTTTAAATGAATTCATATATAGTTATCCTTTCTTTTTCCAAATCTTCAATTTTCGGAAGCTAACTCTATTTTGACGACGCTAAACTTGTCCCTAAAGTGACTCGATTCCTTTTTTTGCCCTTTTTTGGTCACTCGCATTTCGTCCTCGAAATTTCTTCAATCGTCCGATCAATTGAAAAACGTTTTAGCCTATTTTGTAGAGGAGATTTACAACTTTCAAATAGTTTATAACATTCATCGATTCTAGTTTATAACATCAGGTTTCTATCGTTGGAAATTTATGAAAATGTTGAAATCCGGATTTCTTATGCATGTACGTAATATAAAATAAACTGAATAAACTGAATAAAGTGAATAATGATATGATTATTGTTCCCGATGCAGAATCACAAACAAAGCTAACACACCGAGAACAGCGTATTTCAACGCTGGATAGTCATTCATTAGAATAGTCACCATACCGATCCATGGAATTAGTCCTTTAGCCCGTCCGATCACATCCGATCGATTCAACCATAACTGTCCGCTCGCGTAGAGGCCACGGTCATCGATCTGGAAACAAGCAATCATTAATTTTCTGGCAGTTATTGGGTTACGAAGCATGAAATGCTCGTCTTCGAACAAACTTTTCAAAAAAAACTAAACTATAACTTTTCCTCAATTTTTTTCTCTAATAACAATTGAAGTTTTGTTGATTATAAGCGAAAATTTCATCCCGATCTGATCTGTTTTTGATAAATGACAGAGGATGTGTTAAAAAGACGATTTTTACCTAGTTTCCTCTTAAAATCCAGGCCGCTAAAAATTTGCAACAACTTGTTAGATTCAAAAGTGGTTTGAGCCAATATGTTTGTACAAACTTGTTAGCCAAAATCAACAGAAAATTAAAAATTGATCAAAAGTTTCAAAAGAACTTGTCACTTTTGAGAATACATGAGATATTTTTGAGGATACTATTCCAAGGACTCAAAAGGGAAACTCACGAAATCAAGGTGGTCAATCGAAAGAAATGAGAACTAGACGTGATAGCCAATCGGTGGCCAATTGAAATGAGAACTAGACGTGATGGCCAATCGGTGATCAATCAAAATGAGAACTCCGATGCCTAACTTTACGTTGATTCCGAATCTGCTGTCCATTTTTGCTAAATAGGTCGGAGCCGCAGGGGATTTGGCAAACAAATTTTTTGGCCAACAATCTCTTTTATAACGCTTGCGCGCGCGCGTGGCGCGAAGAAATGGTTGCATAGTGTAGCGGATAACGTAATGCAAAGCTCTAGATCGGGGGTTCGACTTTCTCTGAAGTTTTTCTTTTGAACAGCTGTTTTCTAGTGATCCCTGATCCGCCTTCTCTTCGTAATTGCTAAATATTCAAAAATTTCGTTCGAATCTTTTTATTTAAGTGTTCAACAACAAATAATATAAATATAAAACAAAAAAAATTCTATTGTTATTAGAAATAATTTGAGAAAAGATTATAATTTAGTTTTTTTCAAATGCTCTTTCGAAGACGCCGCCATTTCATATTCCCCAATCCAATGGTAGAACCAGTTTATGAGACTTGTATAGTGCTGATTGTTAGAACTGTTGGCCAGGACAAACTTGACGATTCAGTCTAACCGGGCTTACAGTTTTAACCCCAAAACTGTTCTAAACCAACCCAGTTGCTCCAATTTTTTCTAAACAGGTTCTTTCATAGCTATTAGACCTGATCTAACGCCTCCGAACGTTTCACTTCACTTACCCGATTATTATCGCCTTTTGTCAAGAATTTTGTGTCATGACTGCTCTTCTCGTGAACCTGAATGGTCAAAAATAGTCATAAATCCTAGCGAAAAGACAGGTTGTAGCAAATTCCCACCTAAAAGTTGGCCGAAAAAGTTCCAGAATAGGTTTAAATTCGGTTGGAGAGGAAAGAACACTTGGAATCCTTAAAAAGTGCCAAAAAGTACGATAATTACTGTTTCCTATTTTGTTCCCCTCATTCTTGTTGTCTATATAAGCCTCCCCAAAATCATTTTTGACCTTTTTCATTTTGTAAAAAGTGTTAAGTTCTAGTTGGTTCTACGCTTTTTTTTTGTTCTAAACAGGTTGTGAATTTGTTCACTCCTATTGATTTTGTGTAGGCCACTCATCAAAGCGAATGGTTCCCAATCACCAATTGAATGGTTCCATGATTCCCAATCACCAGTTGAATGGTTCCATGGTTCCCAATCACCAATTGAATGGTTCCATTGTTCCGAATGGTTCCCAATCACCAATTGAATGGCTCTATGGTTCCCAATCACCAATTGAATGGTTCCATGGTTCCCAATGGTTCCGAATCACCAATTGAATGGTTCCATTGTTCCCAATGGTTCCCAATCACCAATTGAAATCAATATCGTGTAGTGAGTAAATTCCATTAATGAGATCAGATATCTCCAATAAGAAATAGCGTGTCCTGTGCGAAGAGTATCAGGCACACAAAAACACACAAAAGCTTTGTCTTCGACCTATGTAATTTCTAAAATAGGTCAAAGTCAAAGCCCTTGTTTAGTAGCTGACTTTACCTTAATGACTCGATGAACGAAAGGGACGTTGAGAGTGGAGATCCGACACACTGGCATATCACCAGCGCGCACGGGATCCAACTGAAAATAAAAAGAACTTTAGAGATTTCTTTTCTTTAAAAGTTCTCTAAAGTTCTCTAATTCTCTAAAGTTCATTTTTTCCACCTGATCATTGGTCAAAAATAAAAGATCTCCTCGATAAAAAGCTGGTTCCATTGAGCCTAAAGCGTTCATTTCAATTGTTGCCAGTTTTTGATTTAGTTTAATATGAGGAATTTAGAATCTGACACCTGTAAGAACGACGACAATTGGAGATTCGGTGTTTGCAAAAAACATGAGACCCTTCCAAAGCATCAGGGCCGACGAGGCGATCATTGCAAAATTGAGGCACTAAATTGGGAGTAGGCTGAACCAGGCCCATAGCCAGGGGGGAAGGGGGCGTTAAAAGTCGCTCCGATTAGGTTCCCATTAACTTCGCTAGAGTCGAGTTGTGATTTGGAAACTGTGCGTTTTGAAAGAGTCACATTTGACTTGAGCTTTCCACAGTCGAACCTAACTACGGCAAAGTTTAGCTCATCGGTTTCGGTTTAAAAACGTATCGTTTTGAAAAAGTTTGCGACTTAAATCAAAACTTTGGAACAGTTTCTTACTGGATAGCCTTTTTCTTTAAAAAGTAGCATTTTTCTTCAAGAATCGGTCATTTTTCAATTTGATTGTCCAAATTTGAATAATTGCACAACAAGAAAACAGAAAGATTGTGGTGGCTGCCGACCGGGGCTAAGCTAGACCGTTGAGCACTTTATGAGAATACAAAACATGACCGGATTCGACCTTTCACCGATATCGATGAGCTAAACTTTGCCGTAGTTAGGTTCGACTGTGGAAAGCTCAAGTCAAATGTGACTTTTTCAAAACGCACAGACTGTCTCAGTTTCCAAATCACAACTCAACTCTAGCGAAGCTAATTGGAACCTAATCGGAACCTTTAAGTCCTTTTTCATTTACCTGATATGTGATTTGCCGAAAGTTCATCTGATGAATCTCATCGAAAATTCTCCAATCGGTAGAAGGCATTGGGTTGAATAAGTGTGCAAAAATTCAGTGTTTGGCAAAATGTTTGGCACAATCAATGGCAACAATGATTCGAATATTGCTTATATTGAAAAGGTAAAGGATATAGATATAGATTTTGGACAAAAACGAGAGAATGAGAAAAATGATGAAGTGAGAAGAGAAAAAAGAGATGGGAAAGAGAAAGTGATATACCGTAATAATTCTAATAGAAGACCATGGTCTTCTAATTTTCAACCCCTTCCCCAAAGGGTCTTCTATTAGAGACTGGTCTTCCGTTAGAGACTGGTCTTCTAATTTTCAACCCCTTCCCAAAGGGTCTTCTAATAGAGACTGGTCTTCTATTTTTCAACCTCCCTTCAAAAGGGTCTTCTATTGGAGACTGGTCTTCTAATAGAGACTGGTCTTCTATTAGAATTATTACGGTATATATATATATGCTTTATTCAGTTGAATAGCGACAAGACAACATCACAATAATTACCCGGGACACCACTCAAAGAACACCCAAAAGAAAAATGGATAACTCGAGAAAGAATCACAGAGCAGTCAAATCAATTGCCGAAATTGCGGCTTTGAATCTAGCCAAGGTGGAAATATCACGAACATGACGGGGTAAAATGTTCCAGAATTTAATAACTCGATTAAAAAAGAAACTGTGGAGGCTTTTAGATGAAACGGAAGGTTGGCGTATGAGAAAAGGCGGGGTTCTGGGATTTTGGGGAAAAAAGAAGGGGTTTTGGAGAACCGAATTCAAAGAGATCAGAAAAAAGGGGGTCGGGAGGTGAACGAGAAAGAGATGGGAAAGCCAAACGTGAAATGTGTCTGTAAATTTGTCTTTAAACTTACTGTAACTTGTTTAAATGCAAATTTCAATTCAAAGTTGTGTAAAATCTTTAATAAAATTTATTCTTTGAAAAAAAAATAATCGCAAAATTCATCAAATCTGCAAGAAAATAACACTTTTCGATAAAGCTTTTACGAAGCAAGGAAACGAAATTTTTGTAATTTCAAACGTTTACGGTATCACAAAGAGCTCTTTAGTCGGTTTTTTCAAGCGGGATTTGGCAGTGAAAATGAAAAAGATATGAAATTTTGGTGCAAAAACAACTCTTTTTTTCAATTTTTGGGCTTCGTTTATTTGAATAAGTGAGCGATTAAAAGAAAAAAATTTAGGATAACCTTGTAAAAGCGGATAAATGGTAATCATTCTTCTTCAGTGATTGGCGAATGGGATTCTTCGTGGACGCGCTTGCTTTCTGAACCGTCCGCGTGTTTGGTGACGGTGGTGGTACGGATCTGGAAATGGTTCATATTGGGTTGGTGAATTGAAAACTGCCGGCTATTGTCATATGTGACAGTTTGAGCACTTTCTTCAAAAGAAACCGATTTTGGTGTCAATGGAAAAGTTGTAGAGGATCAAAAATCAAGCTTATATCCAAATTTTCAGAACGATTCAAAAACTCGTTTTCAAGAAATGCCAAATTTACGAATTTTCACAAAGCTTGCATTTTAAGCGAAACTGCTAAGTGTATCTTTTTGGAAATTTGGCTATAAGCTTAATTTTTGATCCTCTACAACTTTTCCATTGACACCAAAATGGGTTTCTTTTGAAGAAAGTGCTCAAACTGGGACATCTCCAGTCCTCCATTTTTGAGTCTCACACTTGTCTCACACACAAACCAAACTCGTATTGTCTATTGTCATATGTCACAGTTTGAGCACTTTGGGATATGGAGGGAGTGGTGTACTGGGAGTTGCTGGATAGCAAGACGACCCTTAATGCAATCGAATACAGTGAACAGTTGGAAAAGGTGAATGAATCCCTAAAGAAGAATAGGCCCTTCAAGTCAAAGATCGTTCTCCTCCACGACAACGCGCGCCTTCATGTTGCAAAATTGACTCGCTCTAAAATAAACAGCCTTGGTTGGGAACTTTTGGCAAATCCCCCATACAGTCCGGACCTTGCCCCTTCTGATTACTATTTATTCCGGACCATGAGTAAATGAGTTTGTGGGAGAACACTTCGATTCGGAAGAAGCAGTCAAAAATTGGCTTTGAAAGTTTTTCGATTCAAAACCAAAATCCTACTACGAAAGAGGAATCCGCAAATTGCCGCAAAATGGGCAGAAGTCGTCAATAATAATGGAAATTATTTGGAATGAATTCATGGTTTTATGTTGAATAAATTTTAGTTTAAAGTCCGGCAGTTTTCAATTCACCAATCCAATAATTAGTAAATGACAAAGAAAGATTTTCGGACATGGATTGAACCCTCGACCTTTTCCCTTCCCGAGCAGATGTTCTAATCACTAAACTATCCATTATCTTCTTGCCAAAGAAAGAGGAAGTACTAGGGACGAGAGAGGAAGAAAGAGAAGGAATTTAGGTAAAAAAAGTTTCATTGATGATAGCAAACCTTTTTGAATGTTTAAGTGTAAATTTTGAGACTGGACTGGCTTTTATAAACACACTAGTCTTTGATAGTTAAGTTCTCCAGTGCTCTAGTACACCAGTAGCTCAATGCGCTACTGTAGTACTCCAATTCCCGGTATTCCTGGTTTGTCCAAATTGCAACTTTTGTACAACCAGTTACTTTCCAAATATTATAGTTATACTTTCAGTATTTGTCAAACATACGGTAGTCACTCCATTCTCTTCGATCGTTTCCGTTTGCGTATAAGTCTCATCGCCTTCTTGTGGCTCAGTCGCTGCGTAATCGATCGGACTGGGGATCTGAAGCAAAAGGTTTTTTAAAAATTGGATTTAGCTTTTAAATATGTTATTGGTTTGACTTTGTGGCTTAACTTTTGACTTTGTGACGTATTGAAACGTAAATTTTCATTGTGAGACCTTTTATACGTACCCCACCCCTTTTGCCTTTGGCAATCCGATTTTGAGCTCAAATATTTTGGTGTTAGACTGTCCAATTTAAATAGTTTTTGTACCAATCGACAGAGAAAGACTTGGCGCATCAAATGATATCAAGAATATTTAAATTAGACAACCCAACACCAAGATATTGGAGTCTAAAGTTAGATTGCTAATGGCAAAAGGGGCGGGACGTGTATAGAAGGTCGCACAAGGCCCTGCCCCCTTCCCCGATGGCAATCCAACTTTGTGCTCAAATTTCTCGATGCTGAGCTGTTCAATTTAAATAGTCGGGACTTAAAGTTGAATAGTTGGGACTTAAATTAAAAGGGGTGGGACTTCGGAGCTTTTATACCCGCCCCGCCCCTTTTGCCTTTGGCAATCCGATTTTGAGCTCAAATATTTTGGTGTTAGACTGTCCAATTTAAATAGTTTTTGTACCAATCGACAGAGAAAGACTTGGCGCATCAAATGATATCAAGAATATTTAAATTAGACAACCCAACACCAAGAAATTTGGGCTCAAAGTTAGATTGCCAATGGCAAAAGGGGCGAAGTGCGTATGAAATGTCCGATAATCAAATTTTATCCAGAAATTAAACATAAATCATTTCAAATCTTTGTCATTGTTTCCGGGCTCATTTTACTGATGTCAGTCTAATATTTTCTTATAGGAAATTCTTGATTTTTGAATCAAAACGATGAAGGTGTCAATTTTAGCGAGCACCTCTTAAATCTAAGAAAAAATTTCTGACTAGATCATTATGTAGTGGTAGAAAAATGGTAGACAAATAGAAAACATTTAAGGTTATATTATGAATGTGCAAGAATTGAACATTCAGGTAAATTTAACTTAAATAAGTCCTCTTCAAAAGACGATGCCTTCGATTGCCATAGAAAAGAAGCTTTAGTCTTTTTGGGATCTTTTCTCATTAAGTAATTGCCGATTTTCTACGTTGATTGGGGTAATTTTAAGGGATTTGTTCCCTAAATTAAAGGTAACGGACCAATACTGAAATGTGAAAAGCAGACTTTTTACTGAAAATATTCCCAAATTTGGCTAAACATTGGAAAATTGTCGACATTTTTGTCGAAAATGTCTGGGTGGCAAATTATTAATGGGCTCATTAAAGTGAATAAAAATCATAATAAATAATAAAAAACAGGTTCTTTATTGTTTCGGAGAGAGTAAATGCACTTGTATCTACTGTCAACAAGATCTCTTCGCTTTGTTTTCTTAAAGATGGGCACTAGTAAACTACAAACGCTTCTAACTCTCTTCAAATCTGTCAGATTGAAATGATCTATAGCTCAAAAAATAGAGAATCTCAAGAGCTTTTGAATGGACTAAAGCACACTCAAAAATATCAATGCTAAAAAAAGTTACAGTGGTTTATAGCCTGACTCGAACTAGCGCATAGCCGAAGCAATCGAGTTAGTCTACAAACCAGTGTAACTTTCTTTAGCATTTATATTTCTCGGTGTGATTTAGTTGAATCGAAAGCTCTTGAGGTTCTCTATTTTTGGGCTATTTTTGAGCTTTTTGAGCTATAGATCATGTCAATTCGACAGATTTAAAGCAATTTAGAAGACTTTGTAGTGTGACAGTTTGTCATTTTTGTAGTTTATAGTGTCTATTTTGTTTTAAACCTATCACAGTTGTGATAAAATCCCCGCAAAGTCAGCAATTCGGCAATCGAATCTATTGTCTTTTATGGTTATTTTTTACCTCTCTCTGATGCGAGATGATCTCTTTCTCTTGACTCGATTCTTCTCTCACGTGAGTCGTTTCACTTCCATCTGGGTGTCTGGTCACCGTTGTTGTTCTTGTCTGAAAATATTCAATTGTTTAGCTTAGTTTTCAATTTACCGTTGTGATCCCATCTTCTGTGAAAGTTTCGGTCGTAGTCGTCGTGACACCCTCTTCATTTTCAGTTGTTGAAACCTCAAAGTCTTTTTGTTAAGAAGAAAGTAAAGATTTTCTTGAGTAAAGAAAAGATTTCTCAATTGATGAGCCATATTTTCCTTACAGTTCTTTCAACATCAACTGGTGGTTCGGGTGATTCTCTTGGCGGAAGATCGGGCGGTGTCTCGATGATAGCCGGGATGGTGATCGGTGAGGGTTGACGAACTATCGAAGCTCTCTATAATAAAAAGTTTTAATCAAGAAACGGTATAGATTAGATTTAAATCTCTAAATCTAATAAATATTCACCTTAACTTCATCCTCTTGCACTGGACTCGGAGGAATCTCGTGGATTCTCTCTAAAACAACCGGCTCCGAGGTCATCGTGGTTGTCGTTGTGGTTTGCTAAAAATAAAATATATCAGATTTTCATTTCAGATATTAAATTTGATAAATTTTACTATATTTGATACAAATTCTACCGTTTCCGTTCGATTTGATCCATCGGGAAGCTCGGTGTGCACGGTGGTCGTTTGAACCGTTGTATTCTTATCCGGATGGGATGTCTGAAACAAATTGATCCAAATAAATGAATTGAAAACTAACTGCTTGATGACTTGCGCGGTAATTTGTCATTTATAAGTTGTAAATTGTACTTTAAACTGTAATTTACTTCTTGAATTATTGTCGTCGTTGCACCGGGTTGTCCCTCTAGCTCTTTGAGTTTGCTGTGTTTCAGCTCGTCACTTGGCTCCTCAATTCGGACTGTTGGAGGCTAAAATTTGAATGAATACGGGTAAATGTAAAATTCTATGAATTTTCCTACTATTCCGGAAGGTTTTCAACTTCAAAAACCAACCCCAACCGATCCTCCATTGCCGAGACTCTCCGCGTATGGGTACATCGGTGTGTAGAGGAAAGGTCCGTTGAAAGCAATCTGAAAGGAAAAGATTAGTAGGTAAGCTTTGTAAGTGATTAGTAATTAAGTTCCGCAAGTAATTAAGGCTTGATTACAAATCTATTGTATCGAAATTGAACTTTTGTTCCTGCATTTCTATTGGGTTGGTGAATTGAAAACTGCCGGCTCATTTGTGACAGTTTGAGCACTTTCTTCAAAAGAAACCCATTTTGGTGTCAATGGAAAAGTTGTAGAGAATCAAAAATCAAGCTTATATCCAAATTTTCAGAACGATTCAAAAACTCATTTTCAAGAAATGCCAAATTTACGAATTTTCACAAAACTTGCAACAAAACTTGCATTTTAAGCGAAACTACTAAGTGTATCTTTTTGAAAATTTGGCTATAAGCCTAATTTTTGATTCTCTACAACTTTTCTATTGACACCAAAATGGGTTTCTTTTGAAGAAAGTGCTCAAACTAGGCTGACAGCTGACATCTCCAGTCCTCCATTTTTGAGTCTCACACTTGTCTCACACACAAACCAAAATCCTACTACGAAAGAGGAATCAGCAAATTGCCTGTAAAATGGGCAGAAGTCGTCAATAATAATGGAAATTATTTGGAATGAATTCATGGTTTTATGTTGAATAAATTTTAGTTCAAAGTCTGGGAATTTTCAACTCACCAACCCAATAATTAGTAATTAAGTTTCGTAAGTAATTAAAGCTCGATTACAAAGCTATTGTATCGAAATTGAAATCAATTCAATGACTGACTTTCCCGCTCTCATCCGCCTCCTCAATTGGCTGCGCTCCGGCCACAAATGGTCTCAATATTGTCGCCTCGTCTTTTGTCTTCAATTCGCCGATTTGAATCGGAATCTCCAAGAGGATCGAGTGGCCCAAAGTGAGCTAAATCGGATTGATATCAAATTGATCTTGATATTTTATTGGAAGAAAATTCAATCCTCTTTCATTTTTTGGAAAAAAGGGGGTGGGACAAATGCGACCTTTTTTGCGCACCTGGACATTTGCACACCTTTTTTTTGCTGGAAAAGGCCTTAGGGAAGGTCGTAGAGCTTCAAAAATGTTTTCATAGAAGGGAATCGTATGCGTAGATTCCGAATTTCGACAAATCAGACCTCGCTGACACGTCAAATTTGGGCTAAAAGGCAAAAACTACGCAACTTAACGCTTTTCCGCAGTTTTTGCCTTTTAGCCCAAATTTTACGTGTCAGCGAGGTCTGATTTGTCGAAATTCGGAATCTAAGCATACGATTTCCTTATACGGAAACGTTTTTGAAGCTCTACTTCTTTTCCTAAAGCCTTTTCCAGCAAAAAAAAGGTGCGCAAATGTCCAGGTGCGCAAAAAAGGTCGCATTTGTCCCACCCCCTTTTTTCCAAAAAATCTAGTTTCAAAACTGAAATTTCTTGCAAATTTCTTGCTCGAATTGCATATTCTACTCTCAAAGGGACTTTTCGTAATGTAAATACACCAAATTTAATTATTATTAACACAAAAACAAGATACAGAAAAAATTACGGCAAAAATTAAGTTCGGCTATCATTTTTCGGATTTTCCAAAGCGATTTTTTTGAAAAAATGCGAAAAGATTTAGAGTTGATGCTAATTTCTATTTTAAATTTGATATTAATACACATTTTATTACTCAAAAATGGCAACTTTTCTCTTTTACAACGTGTCAAAACTTTTTAGCAATCGTTTTTCTGCAAAATTCAGGAATGCGTAGTCGAAGTTTACTCTCAAACAAAGGCTCATATCTTGAAATTTCTTGTAAACTCTCATGTGAGCGAGCGATGTACAGTACTGGACAATGGAATATCATATTCGAAAAACGATCGTCACTTTCGCGCGTCTGTAACTCCCTTGTCTTTGAGTTTAAATTATTAGTGTTATACATTTTCTGAAAGCTCTTTTCAAGGACTACACAATGGTAATATTCATATTTAGAAATACGGTAAAGACAAGGGAGTTACAGACGCGCGAAAGTGACGATCTTTTTCAAATATGATATTTCATTGTCCAGTACTGTAGTTTCGAAAATGAAATTTCTTGTAAACACTTGCCTGAATTGCATAGTCTACCCTCAAGAAGGGGACTTTTCGGAATCGCAAAGTGGCCGTGGATGGACTCTCGAAAAGACCTTTTGTCGGTGATTGGTTCATTTCTTCGGTGATATTATCAAAATCTCCTAAAGATCAATGTTTAATTTTAGGGGTAGGCTACTTTGCGCCAAATTCTTTGCGCAACTAGGTCTTTTGTGCAACTCCCCATAACTTTCTTCTAAGTAACGACCCAGTTGACAAACGACTAGGTCGTTTGGCTCGACATAACTTTCTTCTAGGTCGGCCAATCTTTATGATTTTGGTTTCATTTTGTTGCCCTTATTGAGTTCTACAAAATGAAACCAAAAACATAAAGATTGGATGACCTAGAAGAAAGTTATGCCGAGTTGCGCAAACGACCCAGTTGACAAACGACTAGGTCATTTGGCTCGACATAACTTTCTTCTAAGTCATCCAATCTTTATGATTTTGGTTTCATTTTGTAGAACTCAATAAGGGCAACAAAATGAAACCAAAATCATAAAGATTGGCCGACCTAGAAGAAAGTTATGACGAGTTGCGCAAACGACCCAGTTGCACAAAGGACCCTGTTGCGCAAATAGAATGGCGGAAATTAGCCTACCCCTAATTTTATTCAAATCAAATTTGCTTTACCTTTTGTCGTTGGTGGGACTGGAGGAATCATCAAAAGGAAGAGCTCGCCCTCGAAATTCTTCACACCTTTTGGCAACTCTTGGTGTTCCAATTTTCTAAAAAATAGTCTAAGTTTCCTCTGAAATAAACGCTCAGATCTCGACACCAGTACGTTTGTTTCTGCGCGCTTAGGTGTCAAATTAAAGTAGAGAGGATGGGTGATTTTTTGAGATAAAAAAGAGATTTTTAGCTTTAACCAGCGCTTAGAAAAAAGTGATTGAAAAATGGCAAAAAAAGCGCATCTCGAGATTCGATCTGCCGAGAAAACCGCATGTGATGGACAAACAGACGGACACTTTTCTTTTATATATAGTAGAGAGCAAATTAGATAACTGTAGAGAAGATTATTTTAAGAAATCTTAGATCTCAAAGAAATCAAACCTGTAAAGAAGCGTTCGATACGGAGAAGCAACCGGCTCAGCGGTTCCCACTCGCAAAACGCGATCAACCAGCCGGACTTCCATCTAGAAATTCTCAATTTTAATGGAATCAGAAACTTTAGTTACTTGACTCAAAAACTCCTTTGGTTTCTTGTTATTGATCTTGATCTTTCCGTAGACAGACTCTCCAGGTAAATAGCCGGTTCGTGGCAATTGAAGGTCAGCGGTTACCTGGAAACAATTGGCACTATACAACTGGCACTATTAAAGGGTAAAAAGAAATACTCTGTCTTTACATCTACACCTCAAACTCTCTAGTTAATGCGCCTAGATAAAAATGGCTTATAAACATAATAAGTAGACATCCTTAGGAATTTAATCATAAAAATTTGTTTCTCTAGATCGATCCGGTCGTTCTTTACGCTCAAAATTTGAATTAACTTCAAGTCATTTCAATTAAAAAGATCTAAATTTGTGTTTATCTATAAAAAAAAACGTTTTTATTGTGAAAACGCATTTATTGACACTCAATTTTTGCCTTAAAAAGATGATTTTTTTGGTTTGAAGATTCCTAGCTTTTCCTAGCCCTAATATTCTTAACTTGAAAATTCGAACTTATGGTCGCGTCCGTTTCCTTCCTATTTGCGTTGCTATTTTGCAATTATTCGCGTCGCATTTTTCGCCCTTTTCTCCCTTCCCGAAATTGTTTTTTTTTGGTCTGCGGGTTGCTTTTGCTTTCTTTCTGGGAGGACTTGGTTGTTTCTTTTGATGCGCATGCTGTTTTTGTTAGGGGTATTGTTGCATTTTGGTTTTGTACTAATAAACAGTAAAATTATAAATTCAACTTACTTTCTGCTACCCTTCAGGTTTTAAATCCTGTTTAGATAACTGGTTTAACATTGTAGAGTGCTTACTCTTAATCTGTATTTTGAGCTTACTAACATTTGTGTCGCCACCGACGAGTATTAATCTTGTGTCGGATGCTGCGCGTTCTTGTTATGTTGTAAGCGCTTTGGGGAAACCCTTTTAACCTTCTTTGTGCAATTCGGCTATTCTGAAGCAAAAATCATCCTCGATGATAAGGTTAAAGCGGGTCGCACCCCAAACTTTATTCCTATGCTCACTTAGTCGGATACATTTTTAGAATTTGCTAGATGATTAAAGATTCGAACAGTAAAAGCTTGAACTTAATCTGTATTTTGAGCGTAAAGAATGAGACATTTTTCTTAAAAGAAAGAGAAGGTATTACCTTTATTACTTTTATCTCCTGTAAAAGCAGGATCGATCTAGAGAAACAAATTTTCATGATTAAGTTTCTAAGGATGTCTACTTATGATGTTTATAAGCCATTTTTTTACTTATGATGTTCATAAGCCAGCATCTAGGCGCATTATGTAAAGAGTTTGAGGTTGAAATGTAAGGACGCAGATCCGCGCGAAAATCTGTTTTCTATAGGATTTTTACGTTTGAATAGCCAATTGACGCAGAAAAATGTGCTGAATCCGAAAATAAAAGAATTTTTGAAATCCCTTCGGCAAATTTTTTAAAAATCGAGTTTTAGTGATTTTACTGTGTTAAATTTCAGCCATATTTTATTGTCGGAGCAAAATTTTGGAAACAAAAGCCTAAAACAAAAATGTAAACCGCAATTTTTATTCTACGGTTTCTTCTCTATCTTTTGATACCAAAAGCATAAGAATTGATAAATCCTATAAAAAGTTATAACCTTTTGAAAATGAAAAATGTGGTTTCTGGGTTATGGCACACTATAAAGCGGATAAATGGATAAATTACCATAACCCGAAAGAGAAAAAGAGCAAGATGAAACTTTTTTTTGCTATAATCAAACCATTTTTGCTATTTTTCTGCATCAATCGGCTATTCAAACGTAAAAATCCTATAGAAAACGATTTTTTTTTTGCCTTATTTCCGATTTCGGATGTGGGATGGGCTGAATCTTGCTATTTCTTGTCACTCTGTAAAGGGCAACAGTCTGACAACATTTAATTGTATGGATTTGAAAATATGCAAACAATATTTCCACTTATCACTCGAGTTTTTAGACCCACCTTTCCTTTGCAACAACATTTCCCATAGGAAACCGTCTCCGTGGTTTGAGTGGGCTCTCCGCGAACGATATGTCCATCAGATGGAGCCACAATTGAAAAAGCGCTCTTCACGAAGTATTCTCTCTGAAATTTTCCGGTTTCGTTGCAGAAACAATTCCTTGTTTAATTCTGCTAAAACGAAATTCCCTTACCAAATCAGATCCATCTTCCTCGACAAGACTAGCCTTGATGAAATAGCGAATAAAACCGTGTGGCCCTTCGAAACTTGTCGGACAGCCCTGAATGTTTGTTTGCTGCTGAGAAAATTCAAAATAGTCTATAAAGAAGCGAAGGAATTGTCAAGAAAAAGTAGATTTCCGGAGAGAGAATTGACCTTCTGCTTTTCGGGCAATTCCTCTAACCACTGAGCTATCCGGTACCTTGACTTTCCAAGAGAAAGAAGGGGAGGAAAAGAAGAATGGGAAGAAGGGGAAGAAAAAAGGAAGAAAGGAAGAAAGAAAGAAAGAAGTTTAGACTTTCTTACCTTTGGCAATGGCATCTCAAATGGAAGATGATAATCGAAATTGGCAATCCATGCGAAATGGTGAGGGTCACGTTTGCCGGGTGGGCGCTCCAACAAAGCCATGTCCTGATCGAAGTAGACCTAAACAAAGAAAACCTTACAAGTAACTCTCACACTTACAAGTAACTCGCTTTAATTAATAGGTTAAGTCTTTTCTTTTCTCTTTTCTTTTCTCTGTCTTCTTAGACACTCTTTTCTACTAGCGTTTATAAAAGACAAATTCACCAATAGATCTACAATTGGCTTCATTAGAAAGATCTACTATTTTTCTACAAAATAACTTTTGAATCTTATGAAAATGTTTTGTCTATGGTTTTTTGTAGGAGAGCGAAGTCGGTTAATCAAAAAAGGCGACAGCCCGAAGACACAATTTAGGCGCTTTGGTTCACAGAAACATATCTTGCTGTCAATAGATAAAAGATAGAGCGCAAAAGGTTTGGTATATAGCGAAATTTTCAGGATAATCTGTTCAGTCGATTCCTTGTAGAGCTTTTTATCGAATTTTGGAAAAAACGAGTTTTTACTTGGAATTTACTTGGAAACAGGCCCAAATCAGCGCCCAAATCAACCAATCAGGCCTTAAATAATAGAAAAGTTAATGCTAAACATCTTCCATTTGGAGCAAACCGTTGGCCAATTGAATTTGTCATTTATAAAGGCTAATAGAAACAAAAGTCTCGAAAGACTTATAGGCCAACCTAATTTAAGGTAGATAAACTAAACACTGGAATTCCAGATATTTAAATATTACATGTGCTTTCAAATAGCTGGTAGTTACTTACCGTAAATACTGTAATAGTACCCCATCCCCATAATGAAGGTGCGGAGTGTTGGGTAGTCTAGTTTTGAACGACTGTTTCTCGACACTGGTTTATGTTAAAATGCGCGCTTAGGCATCAAAAAAATAGCTGAAATTCAGGGCTATTTTTTGATACCTAAGCGCGCATTGTAGCCTAAACCAGTGTCGAGAAAAATACGTTCAAAGCTAGACCACGCAACACTCCGCACCGTCATTATGGGGCTGGGGTACTATTACAGTATTTACGGTAGTTACTTAGCTGAAACTAAAGTTTTTAGCTGAACGAACTCTTCGAAAGACTTGCTATATCTTCAACGCTAGGTTTTTATTGTACTCAATTTTTTGCACTTTAACTTTGCAGGTACTTCAAACCAAAAACATAGATCATTCCTCTATTTCTTAACTCCCGAATCTTTCCCTTTTCACTGATTCATCATTTTTTTTTCTTTTGCTAATCCGTTTTCTGAATAACCCGTGATTTCTCAATAGAAACCCCCTTCAATCCATTAGTTTCCCCCATTTTTTGTTGATTTCTCAGAGAGAACTACTGAGTCATCCATTTCTTTTCTCTTTCAATGAATACATTGGTGACCCTTTGGTTTTGGTTCCTTTGGAGAATGGAAAAAAAATCGGACAAAAATAGCCCATTCTAGCCTATTTGTTGAACCGGGTTGGGTAACTGATGTATGAAAGAATAGTTTGAGAGATATTTGAGTAGAATTCTACACACTGATGTACTTGATGTATAAAGTTTTAGCTTTTTGTTGAATTTGTCAACTGCGTTTAATCAAAACCCACCTTTTCAATGTCGGCTTTCTTTTTTGAGTCGTTCAAAAAAGCGGCTCTTCCCTTGATTTGAAGCCGAACCGCAAATACCTAGAAGAGTGAATTTAATTGGAGATTAGAGTTTAGAGAAAAAGAATGGCGTTCGAATGGAAGCTCATTTGGAAAAGATTTTAGAATAAAACAGGCTATGCCATTTGTGTTTAGATCACAAGTAGATTTTGGTAGATTAGCTCCCAAATGCCAAGTTTAACCCTAATATGTTTAGTGTTATATAAAATATTGAAGCCTTTAATCTTGGCTAAAATTTCACTCTTAAAGGTTTCCCAATTGGAATTATACAACTCATTTTACAAGCTCTCGAATGAGCGAAAGTCGGCGATCTGCCATTTTTGACACTTTTCTTAATAAAGAATTGTTTAAAAGTTTTCTCGATGTTTATTTCGTGAAGAAATAAGGCTTAATATCATTTAATAGCAATAAGAATAAGAGGAAACTCTTTTGTTAGACTTTCATAGCCAAAATTGGAGTTGATTTTTGGGTTCATTTGAAAACTCCGCAAAAAAGGGAAAATTGAGCTTTTTCAAATATCCATTTGAGAAAAAGATCTTGCTGTATAAGCTTCTCTAACGTTATATTTTTGTTGAATCCTTTAAATGATACTTTTAAAGTAAAATACCACAAGTTTGACTAAAGAAACCCTTTCTAAATGAAAATATTGTGCCATCGCCGATCGCCGACTTTCGCTCATTCAAGAGCTTGTAAAATTAGTTGTATATCTCCAATCGGGAAACCTTTAATACATAAATATAGCCAAGATTAAGGGCTTTATTTTTCTATATAACACTTGGCACTTTGCTAAGGAGTCAAGTGTTTGTCAGCAACTTTTCCAAAGCTTTTCCAAAAAAAGTGCCGCCATAATTCGCAATCACCCTGTACATATCCATATCTCAAATTAGCCACTTTTATTTATATTTAGGGAACAGATTTAGTGATTTCCCTGGGATTTTTGAATTGAAATACTCTAATCTATGGTACCAGAACAGTTTAAAACTTTAAACGATCCCAGAACTGATAGCTCGACCCAAAAAAGTGCTTATTTTGATTTTAGATTTGGGCTTAGCGTATTAGAAACAGATCTGTTTAAGTCTTAATGATTTTTCTATATGAAAAACTCACAGTGATCTGTTTCCGCAAACGAACATGAATCTTCCCCTTGATCAGCTCTCCGCCACGATAAACCGGAGATGGCCCATCGGCCAGCTGGATCTCCAGAGACTCCAGCACACTATCCGACATCTACCTGTAATATTAATTTAAATATAAAGTTCAGATTTAAAGTTAACAAGTGGAAATCAAGTTGTGAAGCTTTTGCGATGAAAATCAGGAAATCAAGGAATTGTTAGAAGTTTCATCGAAGTCGAGAGCTTTGGTTCTGTTGTTGGTGCAGTTGTGTAAACGATTTTGAAAAAAGAAAAAAAGCTGAGATGAGCTGGCAAATAGTGAGGAAATTGATGAATTTTTCGAGGATAGAAATGAAAGATTACATTTGAAAATATTTTCGTTTTATTGCTGAAAATCGCCGTTAAATACGGTTAACTGTCATCGAAATCCATCACTAATTGAACGATTCTATCAAATTTAGCAAGAAAATTTCGTAGAAAAAGCAATAGATGGCGATTTTTGGATATTGGAACCGTATTGGAACAGTATTGGACCAAAATAGGAACCGTATTGGAACCGTCTTGGACCAAAAATGGAAATTCAGTGTAGTTTTTCTGTAAAAGATACAAATTTACTTAATTGAAAGCGGCTAAAGAATGCTAAAGAACGGCTAAAGAACGCTAGCATTTATTTGGCTTAAGATAAGTACATTGTAATTGAATTTCGCATTTGTAGATATAGAAATGAACAGTTTTTCTCATAAGGAACAACTTCTTTTGATTCTTAAAGTTTTAAAAATACGGAAATCAAGTTGTACATTTTTTAAAAGAGAATTTTTAACGCTGAAAATGGACTTGTGAAAAGTAGTGTTGTAAAGACTTTAAGGCTTACAAGGCTTACATTTAAGGCTTATATTCAAGGCTTACAAGGCTTACATTTAAGGCTTACAAGGCTTACATTTAAGGCTTAACATTTGAAAAACACAACAACATCGTTTCAAGGCTTGACTTTAGACATAAACAAATTTTTACTTAGGTCAAAAATTGCTTTGCCAGGGTTGGCCCAAGCAATCTTTGCTTGTATGACTTTTATTAAAAAAAACTAGACAAGATAAACACAAAAAATTGCTACTTAGTTACTTACAGGTTTAGACAAAGTTTCTGTGCATGGACAAGGGGCTAGATCGTCCTTCGTTCAATGCACTCGACACCGAGAAAAACTCGCGCAAATCAATGTGTCCCCACCCCTCCCCTCCGCTCCCCTCCCCTCCCCATTCCATTCCATTCCCCACAGTCCTTTCCCCATTTTTTGTGTCACTTTTGCGGTAAATAGAGAACTGTTCTCTTTCTCTTTCTCTTTCTCTTTCCCTTTTCTCCTTTTTTTTGAATTTAGGTTTCAAGGTTTTGTTGAAAAAGTTTCGCATTCAGTAAACACCCAAAAATAAGAGAAGAGTTTCGGAAAGGGAAATTGGATAAACGTTAATGCGATACGGAGAGTTTGGTGAAAGATTGAGATAGATTTGTAAACTTGTTAAAGAATTAGGTACTAGATAAGTTACGTACTAAACTACTAATTGTTAACCTATACCAAATTATCCTCTAATACTGTAGCGAAAAATTTAGTAGAAAAAAGTTGATCACAACAAAGTTTGGTTGTATTGTTCGGTTGTAAACGAGTTTTGTTCTACAGAGTTTTTCAAGAGAAGACCGTTACGGCTTTTGGCGGGCGCACGAAATTGCGATGGGAAAGTGGCGATGATCGGGATGGGAAAAAGAGGAAAAAGGGGCAATTCACGAAAATGCTCAATGGCAAATCGAGTGAATCGATTTGAAATCGTACAAAAACGATAAAAAAGACAGATAGTTTTGTCTTCTTGAATGAAATGAATAAGATTTTACTATGCGTTACAGATAAATTTGTACATTCTTTGAGAATATCAGTTGTGAAATAGTTCGGTCCGCTCAAGTTCTGTCGGCTCTTAAAAGACAACTTTTACGATGTTTTATGGAGTTTCCAAGACTTAAAACCTACAAAATTAGATTTTTCAAGGATTTGTACGCTAGAAAATTGTTTTATATCTTCTATTTTACTTATATAAAAAAATTTTATGGAATTTTTTAGGACAACATTGAGATATCCTCTGATCGTAAGCCAAAATAGCTTTCCTGCACACTTTTTTTAAATGACTATTTAGTTAAAACATTTTTCAGAAGACTTTTTAGCATTATTCAAAGCTGGTTAGCCATAGTTTCATATGCATTTTGCTTCTGACAATTCAGATTTCTTTTTTTAAAAGAGACTTCAATTACATCAGACCTCAAAAGTGCACAAGTCGATCTGACTAGCATCTTAAATGAGAAAGGAAATGTTCAAATGCAAATTCAAAACCGTAATAAATCATTAAAAACTGTTTTTATAGTTAAATAATACTAAAAATATTTGAAAATAGAAATTCTAATTTACTAGGAAAGCTAGGAAAGCTAGGAAAGCTATTTTGGCTTGAGATCAGAGGATATCTCAATGTTGTCCTAAAAAATTCCATAAAATTTTTTATATGAGTAAAATAAGAAGATATAAAACAATTTTCTAGCGTTAAAATCCTTGAAAAATCTCATTTTGTAGGTTTTAAGTCTTGGAAACTTCAAAAAACATTGTAAAAGTTGTCTTTCAGGAGGCGACAGGACTTTTCACGTATCCTGTACGGGAAAGAATGGAAAATCAGCCTGGTTTTACATTTGGCTAAGTTGATCAATTACGTCAAAAAAGGATCTTGTATACAAGTGAGCCTTTCGAGTTTATAACAAAGTTTTGTGGAAAGTGAAAAGTCGGCAGAAAGGCAGATCGTTTCGCTATTGAACACGGCTGGTATTTGTGGGTTCTCTCCATCTATTGGGTCAGCAATGGATTGAGAGTTTGCGGGGAAAAAGGAAAAAGGTTCATCACTCATTTTGAAAGCGAAGAGACTTTAAAAGGGGGAAAAGAATGATCCACTTCGATCCATTTCCCCTCAACTGAAATAAACGCTCGAGCATGATTGATTCAAGAGAGGATCTAGGTGAAATCGAGGAAAAGAGTGGAGTGGCTGGGAATAATCGGAAACATGTGCAAAGCCGCGATCAAAGGGAAGCATTTTAGTCTATTTCAAAGAATTTGTTTGCTTTTAATTTTTAGTGATTCTTGAATCAGTTTTAATTAGCAGAAAAAGACTTAGTCGAGCATGGATATACCGTATTCTCTCTAATAGCAGTGCACTCTCTAAAAGTATTGCGGTCCAGGTTCAAAAAATAGTAGTGCACCCTCGAAAATTTGAATTTCTGGTGCTTCTTTTTCATCTAAACCTTTTTGACTTTATGTTTATGTGACATTCTAAAGCTATTCAAGCAAGCAAAAGTGAGACTTTTTTTATTCATTTATTAACTATTCTTGACATGAAAAAGTTAGCAAAAAATCTAAAATTGTTTTGCAAAGTGCAAAAACATCTTTTTGTTGTTTGTCAAGACACAAATTGTCAGCGTGTATAAGGCGGTCAATTTGCATATAAGGCGACCAATTTGTATATAAAGCGTATATAAGACGGCCAACTCGTATATAAAGCGTATATAAGGCGGCCAAGTTGTATATAAGGCCACAACTGTATGTCAAAAGGAACCAAAGGAGTACGTGAAAGAATTGCAAGAATTTTTGGAACAAATCTTATATCTGTCTTACTTTGGCAAATGATAAAACTCTTTAATAGCAGTGCACTTTCTAATAGTATTGCGGTCCAGGAGGGGGTTCAAAAAATAGTAGTGCGCACTACTATTAGAGAGAATACGGTACTTCAAGATCGTTTTAAAAGACCTCATAGCGTTCTAAAAGACTCTGAAAACGTTAACCGCTAAGATTTACTGCTTCATTCTTCATTTTATATTGTACAAAAAGGTAAGGAATATTTTAAAGTATAATTATTATATAAAGAAAAACAAAAGGTTCAACAATTGCTATTCTATAGGCCACAAAATGACTTCAAAATACGATTTTACATGATAAAATGTAAATGTAACCTTGTGAAATAGAAAATTTACAAGCTTTCATCAACTCTACCATTTAAATCATTTAGATAAAAACATTATTAAACTTTCTTAATGGAGTAAGTTGAATGTGAAATGTTTTTAGGTAAAATTATGTAAGTTATGACCAACTATGACTAAAATCCAACTATTTGAGTTAACTATAAGCATTTTTAAAATAAAATTCTTATCTGTAAAGCATTTGCACAATAAAAGCTAAAATTTAGTTATAGAATTGACCAAATTTTCTCAGGAAAAAGGAGGTTAAGAAATAATTGAATGTAAATCAAAATGTAAAGAGAGCTTACAAATGGATAGTAAATCGAAAACACTAAAAATTGACTCTAAAACACACCTAAAACAATCAATTCCCTGAAAAAAGAAATTTGGCGGTAGGTAAACGCATTTAAAAGGCTAGTGAATGTCGCTTGAAATCGTTTCCGAAAAAGACGTAAAAAGGGTTGTGTGAGTGTTGGATGTTGCGTGGAGAATGTATGCATTTCGACGAAAGAACGACGACGAAAAGGCATTGTGACAAGTCCAAAATCCATCAGATCGCTGGCTGGGGAAAAAACGAATAAATCGCAATAGGCAGATCGCATTGTGTTTTTGATGGGTTATGCTTTGAAACTGGTTTTCGAAAGGGAAACATTGGCTGGGGGTAAAGTAAAGTTTTGTTTGGGTGGGTGTTCAATGTTTTTGGGTAACTGGTAGACAGACATGAGAAAATTCCAAGCCAAACCGAATTCCACATTCGTTTTCTTGGTCGTTTCTTGGCCGATTGCTCTGAAATTTTGTCTACAAGCTGAAAACGTCAATTTCTATTTGTAAACAAAATTTCAGAGCAACCGACCAAGAAAACGAAGGTGGAATTAGGTTCAGCTTGGAATTTTTTCATATATAGTAGAGTATATTTTTCATATCATATCATAGTTCATATCATATCATATCTAGGTTTTGAAAAATCATTAAATAAGGGAAATAGTCCTTTGGGGTTGGCTCCAATTGGCACTTAAAGTTACTTGAACATCTTTGGCATAGTTTTGACCAGTTTTAACCAGTTTTGACCAGTTTTGACCGGTTTTG